TTATTCATCGCACAACCTGCGTGTGAAAAAAAGTAAAGGCAGTTGAACAGGATTACTCAAGAATGCGTGCAACCAGGGTCATTAAGCAAGGCACATTCAAGTCAAGTGTGCCTTTAAAAGGAACTGCCCTGCTCTGCAAGCTGAGATAGTGAGCAGTTTCTACCGTGTTGGCCTTGCACACTTGACAGCAGGTGAAGATTAGGAATTAGATCACAGTTTTTCTAAGTGGAGAGAAAGCAAAGAGAGAAGTGGCATATTTTCTGAATGGTTTATTTTTCCCCAGTGTTTTTGAATACACCCCTCCCCCCCAATTGAATCAAACTTTTAATATCACCAACCATTAAATTATCTTGGAAATTTAGATTTACCAGATTTGAAATCACTGATTTATTCAATTTATTTATTCATTTTTTATGCGGCCCATCTCACTGATATGGCAACTCTAGGAGTCCTCAGCCCCTGGGCCACAGTACTACTGGGTCATGGCCTCTCACGTGACAGGTAGGCTGGCATGCATGCGCATGTGCAGCATCATTCATGTGAGCAGAGGGCAGGCTCACGTGTGCATGCACTCACAGCTCCACTTGTGCGAATGGCAGATTGGTGGGCATATGCATGCATGCACAGCTTCACTTGCATATGCATATGCATGCATGCTGGCCCACCCCTCACACAGGGCAGTTCCCCTCTCTCCTTCCCTAGCCGGGCTGCTGAGCCTCAAAGATTGGGGACCACTATCTTATAACGTAAGTACAATAATGGTATTTTGTTGCTTGCTGCTTAGTTTGGATGCACGAATACACAAGAAGGACATGATCAGAGATTTGCATGGTATGGATATTTATTATGGTCCTGTATGACAAGGCTAAAGTGAATGTAGATTTCAAAAATTATGTCAGGCAGGCCAATCTAAGAGTATGGAATTAGTGCAATGTTAGGTTTCTTTAGGAAAATACCTTTGTGGCCTTTGGTGCAACAAGCATTTTATAGATAAGAAATGGAAAGTAAACCAGTAAATGGTAAATTTACTGTGATGTACTAGAATTTTCTCAAGGAGATGATGAACTAAAATCAAGAGGTGATTTTACAATGGAAGGATGTCCTTGTCAAAGGTGTTCTTATATATGATTATCAGAAAGATTTAAAGTGGATAAAAGATTTCATGGTTTTGAACAATGTGAGACTTGAGTTTGAAACAGAATTATGTGCTAACCATAAACAAGTTATTGAGAAAATGTATAAACCTTTGTAGAAATATGAGACAGAAAAAGAACAAATGAAACAAGACAAAATGGCCTAAAAACGTGGTTACTATATATAAAAAGGAAAAAAGGGACGTTATATGATTGAAATTTACCTTATGTTGTATGTAGTCTTAAAGATAATATTTATAAAATGACATATTGTTTATCACTAGAGAAATTGTCTAGAATGAATAAAAATGCTCTGAATCTTTGCTTGAAACATGAACAACATGGAATGACATTTTATCATGTTTGGTGGATGTGTGAAAAAGCCAAAAAAATATAATTAAATACAAACATATACATTATTCCAGAAGATTTTAAAGAATAAAGCACAAGTAAAAGGAGTTGTAGTGGCCCAGTGGTTGGAATGCAGTATTGCAGGCTAACTCTGCCCACTGCCAGGAGTTTGATCCTGACCAGCTCAAGGTTGACTCCGTCTTTCATCCTTCCAAGGTCAGTAAAGGATTCAAATTGTTAGGGGCAATATTCTCACTCTGTAAACTGCTTAGAGGGCTGTAAAGCAATATGAAGTGGTATATACTGTAAGTCTAAGTGCTATTGCCATTGCTAAAACCAGAATTTTTTTACCAGACTAATAGACAAGGAATTGTTTTATATATGACAAGAGAGTCATATAAAAGAGAGTTATGTTATATGACAATAGTTGAGAGTCAGTTGTGGGATTCAAATTCTTTTACTACTGGTTCTGTGGGAGTAGCTTGGTGGGCGTGGCAGGGGAAGTATACTGTAAAATCTCCAGTCAGAGGTGATATTTGCTGGTTCTCTGAACGACTCAAAATGTCTGCTACTGGTTCTCCAGAACTGATCAGAACCTGCTGAATGCCACCTCTGCTGAACTGCTTATACTCAAAAGTAGAAAGACTCAACATTACTCATAATGGAGAAATGGTTGATGAAGATGATGGAGCCTGCAGAGATGGCTAAATTATTTATATGTTAATTGTTTTATTGTATGTTGCCCAAGGTCACTTTTTTGTAAGATAGGTGGCCATATAAAATTGATGAATGAATGAATAAATGAATAAATACATAAGTAAATAAACATTTAGCAAATCAGATGTAGCTCCAATATGTGTAATGAAATAAGGTGTTTAGAACAATACTGAACCACTTCTAACATAACTGGTGGTCTATCAAAACATGTTTGTTTTGATGTCACCAAATGCTGGAATAAATTTTAGAGGTCTTGGTGGGTTGTATCCCATGTCCTTCAAGATGCATGAGATCCTCTGCTTTCAGCCTGTACCCTTGTTTTATAATTTTCCTGATAGGAATTTTCAATAATATGTACATGTTAGTATAGAGGAACTTCCTAGATACAGACAAGTCCTTCCCAACTTCAGCAACTAGTCATCCTTTTCATCTAAACCAATGTATCTCAACTTGAAGAACTTTAAGATGTGTGGCCTTCAATTCCCAGAATTCTCCAGCAAGCAATAATTGATTCTGGACTTTCTACATCAGGGTTGTCAAACTCATGTCATCATGGCAGCGTCACATAACGTATCAGGACATTTTTCCCCTTTGCTAAACTGGGCGTGGGTGTGGCCAGCACGTGACACATCTGGCCCATGGGCCAGGAGTTCGACAGCCCTGCTCCACAAGCATGAAAGATAATGCCTTTCTATGCTACAGCCTTCTCTAAAAGTATTGTGAAATTTATTAGAAAATGTGGGGCATACCTGAGATAGATTCTTTACAAAGCTGACAAAGTATTCACTCCCTTCCCTGTGGATTTTTGAAAATATTTGCATATCTTTCCTATTACATGTTATCAGAGCTTTGTTTGGGTCTTACCGATATATAAAAAGAGCTTGGGTGAAGGGGAAAAAAAAACACCCATGTTTGGTGCTATTTATTTAAAAATAAAGAAGCATTTTGTTGTGAATTGTAGCATGAATCCTAGTCCAGAGAGAATGCATTCTTTTGTCACAATGTGATAAAGAGGAAGTGTTTGGTATCTCTGGACAATGCATCATGTTCACTACACAATAAATGTAGGAAGCTATTTCTGAAAGAAAGGGGAGATTTAATATTATCCAATTGTGCAACTGGGAAATATATATTTACCAGTGGGTCACATAGCAGGCTACAATATCCAAACAGTCACATGGGAATCATGGTAAGGATGTAAGGACGACATTCAAGTTCCATAAAAATTAAGACAGGTGTTGAAGAACCAACTCAATGGGAAAAACAATATTTTCACCATCCATCCATATACCCTTCGTTATCAGATACCCTGACAGTATACTGGCCAAAGGAGACACAGGAAGACTGCCAAGGCTGAAGACCCAGAATCTTCCCACAATTATGGAGGTTTCCAAATACATCACCCAAAGGTTTTGACTAACAACCAGTGTAGTGTAACTAACACTAACAAGAAAGAGGAAAGATGGGGTCTGTTAAGTGTTAACTGCTAAGTCACTGTTCTGGGTAAAACCTATAGCACCCAGTAATACATCAGTAAGATGGCACCCAAAGATGAGCTGCTAAGAGAATGCCAGAGGCAACAGCAGAAATGAGAGGAAGATCAAGCAGAGAAAGTACCATGCTAATTCAAGATCCTGCATGGAATGTACAATCAACCAATAGCTTGAATGGCTGATATTCAGAAATCCTCTCAATGGCTGGAAAAGACTGGACTAAAATACAGCATTTGAGGCACTGATCATAGCAGCATAAGAACAGGTGCTAAGCACCAGAGCCTTAAAAACAGGCCTATCACACAAAGCAGAGCTAAAGTTCAGATAGGCCTGTAGATAGGCCTCAGAGACAGTTTGACACAGTGGCAGGATATATGATGCAGACAGAATAGCATACACTGACAGATGTTGTATAAAGGAACATCTCCACATAGTAAGGGATAGACCCTTCCAAGTTCAGATGGGAGATCCAGCAAAAGGTCATGGAGAATAACAGAGCTAAGATCAGGGGTGGGATTCAAATTTTTTAATAACCGGTTCTGTGGACGTGGCTTAGGTGGTGGGTGTGGCTTGGTGGTCATGTGAGTGGGTGGACATGGCTTGGTGGTCATGTTATTGGCTGGGCGTAGCCAACTCAATATCACTCACATCGAGGCATGCATCTCCTCGCCTGGCCTCTCATGGGGATGCTGCAACAGTTGTAAGTGTGAAAAATGGTCATAAGACACTTTTTTCAGTGCAATTGTAACTTTGAATGGTCATTCCACACAAGCAAAGTACCAGCAAAGGAGGGGAAAAAAACTCCAGAGAAGTTCCTGAGACAGGAAGTCTAATCCTGCCAAAAATGTAATAAGGGTTAAAGGAGAGGCAGTTTCTGTAAGCAACATCAGAATGTTTCCTTCCTGCCTTCCTTCCAGGATTAGGCCAGTAATTTCTTCTAACAACCGGTTCTCCGAACTGCTTAGAATGTCAACAACCGGTTCTAGCAAATAGGTGCGAACTGGTAGAATCCCATCCCTGGCTAAGATCATGTGAGACTTCCAGGGCTAGAAGGACAGATAGATACTGGCCAATCAACCAGACATTGTGGTAATAGACAAGGATCAAAAGACTAGTGATAGTTGCAATGGTGTCAAGTGACAACAACATTGGGAAGAAGTATGAGAAGCTGGAGATGTACCATGGCCTGAAGGAGGAACAAGAGAGGATCTTGGAAAGTAAAGGCCAAAGTGTTGGCAGGAACACTCTGGCCTGTGACTCTTATGCTGGGAGGGTGGCTTCAACAGATTCCAAGAACGATGTTAGAAATCTCTGACCAGGAGTGTGCTTGAACTTGAGAAAGACACATACTATCCACAAGAACCTTTAGAAACATGTAAAGATCCTTCTTCGATGAAAAGACGATGAAGATAATAATTCTGTTTCCACAATGATCAATCAAACACACACACACACTACACTTGATCTTAGCCAAAAGGCCAAGAAGTGATCAATCAAATACTCATAGCATGCAAATACATCTTCCTTCTGCTCATAGAGGATGTTTGGGCAGAACTGGTGGGAAGTTTATTGCTTCTTACTCTGGGGGTAATGTATAGCTCCCATGTGCCGTTCTACTGATAGTATTAGTGCCTATATCTAATTCTTTAAACCCAATTTGGTGGCCATCAGTATATCCAAATTTTTTTACAGATAAACTACTATACCTATTTTAATCTCTCCTTAAACACTCACTGTTCAATATTGTTGGGTAGTTCCCTGTAGCAATAATGTTCAGGTTATAAACATGAGCCATAATTTTATATAATTTAATCATGATATCCCTTGCATTTTTCTAGTATTCAAAACTCCAGCAGTGTTAACATAATGACCCATAGTGAAATTGTTCCAGTCCTTGGACCACAGCACATAGACGTGGGACTTTGGTCACACTATCAGGCTGTGATATCAGCTTGCCTTTTTAATATACTGCATATATAAACACTCTGTGAACACTGCCAGAATAGGAAATGAAATTTGCATTTCAAATTCCCAAAGGTTGTGGGAGGAGCTGCTGGCTGCTTGTGAAGGAAGCAGAGGGTGAGCAGAAAAGAGAGAGGCAGCTTGAATTGCTTCCATTGCATTTCAAATTCCCAGAGGTTGTGGGAGGAACTGCTGGCTGCTTGTGAAGGAAGCAGAGAGTGAGTAGAAAGGAGAAAGATATAACTATATAACTATATATAACTATAAACCAAGAATACCAATAAGACATTTAGGGTAAGTGCACTTGAGATTGTGATTTTATTTTATTTCAAAATGACCGGCTTAGTTCAGTGTAATACTTATTTTACAGCTGTCTTTTGCAGTACTCTTTTCAAACTTGGACACTGTCCTCTTTGTAAAAAAATTACCAGTCTTCATGGACAGATTATCTATCTAGAATCTCTAATCTGTGCTCTCCAAGCAGAAATTAGGTGCCCAATCCAGCCATCTATTGAGCTGCCGTGCTACCAGCCCCCACTACCACAAAGATCCTGCAGGAAAAGGGCAGTATGGACAACCGTGGGATCTGGCAGGGTGAGAGCTGTGGACCATAAACACAAAATTTTTGCTGTGTCCCAGCATAACAAATACAGTGCCCTTGCTGACCTTAAAAGGGACACTAAAGCGACAGGTCAAGGTAGTTGTGATAACGATAACTTAAGTAAGCCAGGGATCATGGTCCTAGAAGAAGAACTTACTTTGGAAAGGAGAAAGTGTGAATCAGGTATTATGCACCAGTCACACAAGAAGAGCAAGCCATCCAAAAAGAGAAGCCACCTTCTAGTTGGGGACTCAATTGTAAGGGATGTAAATTTAGGAAAGGATACTGAGGTTTTGAAAGAGGTCAGGTGTCTACCAGGTGCTACTGCCATCAGAGACAAGAAGCATATTCTTAAGATAGTCAAGAATGCCAGCAAGGACTGTGATGTTGATGCTGTTATACATCTTGGTACAAATGATCTGTCCCAGAAGGATATTCTTTCTGTTCAGAAAGACTTCCAGAGCTTGGGATATGAACTTAGTCATATGGACTGTAGGCTTATCTTTTCAGAGGTTCTACCAGCATACAAGGAACAAAAAGGGAAAGGGCAGCATGTAGCAGAGTTTAATGTGTGGCTAAAGGAGTGGTGTAAAAGGGAAGGCTTTGGTTTTATTAGTCATGATGTCTGCAGCTGGTCCAGTGAAAAACTGTACAAAAGAGATGGTTTGCATCCATCAAAGAAAGGAACTGAGTTACTTGGTATTAAATTCACAGATTTCCTGGATAAACGTTTAAACTGAACAGTGGGGACAGAGAATTAATGGATTCAGAACATTTCTGTCCCCAGCAACCTAAAACTAATAAGGATACCAGTGCATGCAAAATAGACGTTTGTGCAGGTAAGATTATCAATCTTGATGCCAACCAAAACCAAGCATTTAATAGTGAGTGCCATACCATGTGCAATAATCAAACAGGTGGCAAGAAAGCAGGCACAACACAGGTTATAGACAGTAAACACAGTGTCAGACATAAAGATCTCAAGTGCCTATATACAAATGCACAAAGTATGGGGAACAAACAGGGTGAACTCGAATTATGAATACATGAAGGTAAATATGATATAGTTGGAATAACAGAAACTTGGTGGGATGAAACCGATGACTGGAACATACTGGTAGAAGGATACAAATTATTCAAAAAAAACAGACCCCATAAAAGAGGAGGTGGAATTGCACTATATGTAAAGGACCATGATATTGCTACAGAAATGTATGAAACCAAAGATGAAAACCCCTAGAATGCATATGGGTCAATATAAAAGAAAAAAAGGGTGACATGGCCATAGGCGTATATTATAGGCCACCCAATCAAGCAGAAAATATAGATGTCCTTTTTGCCAGCCAACTAACAAACATATGCAGGAAACACACAACAATAGTAATGGGAGACTTCAATTATCCTGATATCAATTGGAAAACTAATTCTGCACCAAGTGAGAAAAGTTCCTAACCAACCTAGCTGACAACTTTGTTGTCCAAAAGGTAGAGGGTGAAACTAGAGGGACAGCAATAGTGGACTTAATTCTTACAAACATAGAAGAAGTGATAGAGGGAGTTGAAACTGCAGGAACCTTGGGTGAGAGTGACCATGTCATACTAGAATTCAACATAACACAAACACAAGCAACAGAACATTATGACACCAGAATCTTGGATTTTAAAAGAGCTGATTTCAATAAATTCAGAGAGAACTTGGGAAAGATTCCATGGATGTAAATCCTAAAGGGGAAAACAACTCAAGAATCTTGGGAAACTCTAAAAAGTATGATCATAGAAGCCCAGACGTCAAGCACAATACCACTGAGAAAGAAAAACAAGAAATCCAAGAAGAAACCAGTATGGCTGCACAAAGATCTCTCTGGCAAATTGAAAGAAAAAAAGGACAAGTACAAAAAATGGAAAGAAGGACATACAGCTAAGGCATAATATCAGCAGATAGCCAGAATCTGCAAAGACAAAGTCAGGATAGCAAAGGCTCAGAACAAACAAAGACTTGCAACAAAAGTCAAAGATAATAAAAAAAGTTTCTTCCAACATGTAAATAACAAGAAAGAAATCAAGGAAACAGTCGGTCCACTAAAGAGAGAAGATGGCAAGGAAGTAACCGGCAACAGAGAGAAAGCAGAACTGCTTAACTCATTCTTTGCATCTGTCTTTACGGAAAAAGAAACTATAGCTCAACCCACCAAAAACATAACTGTAAAAGACAGACCAGAAATAAAAGTTAAGATAAGCAAAAAAAATAGTAAGAGAATACCTGTCTGATCTTGACGAAAACAAATCACTGGGGCCTGATGGATTACATCCCAGAGTTTTAAAGGAGCTGGCAGAGGTCATCTCAGAACCACTGCACCATATCTTTCAAAAATCCTGGAGCACTGGAGAACTACCAGAGGACTGGAAAAGAGCTGATGTGGTTCCCATCTTCAAAAAAGGGAAAAAAAAAACAGACCCAGGAAACTATAGACCAATCAGCCTAACATCAATACCCGGGAAGATACTGGAAAAGATAATAAAAAAACAGATCTGCCAACATCTAGAAACAAGTAAAGTAATAACTAGCAGTCAGCACGGGTTTGTTAAAAACAAATCATGCCAAACCAATCTTATTTCATTCTTCAACACAATGACTAAATTAGCAGACCAGCAAAATACTGTGGACATCATATATTTAGATTTCAGCAAGGCATTCGACAAAGTAGACCACAACCTACTTCTTAGTAAGCTAGAAAAAAAGTGGAATAGATAGCATCACCACTAGATGGATTCGCAACTGGCTGGCAAACCATACTCAATGAGTAGTCCTTAATGGGTCTAAGTCTACATGGAGGGAAGTAAGTAGTGGGGTGCCACAAGGTTCCGTCTTAGGCCCAGGACTCTTCAATATCTTCATTAATGACTTAGATGAGGGAATAGAAGGAGAACTTACCAAATTTGCAGATGATACTAACCTGGCAGGAATAGCTAATACCCAAGAAGATAGGCTCAAGATCCAGATGGATCTTGACAGACTAGAACACTGGGCCATATCTAATAAAATGAAATTCCATGTAGAGAAAAGTAAAGTCCTACACTTAGGCAAGAAAAACTAAAAGTACACAAATAGACTGGGTAAAACCAGGCTCAATAGCAGTAACTGTGAGAGGGATCTTGGAATCTTAATGGACAACCAGCTAAATATGAGCCAGCAGTGTGCAGCAGCTGCCAAAAAAGCTAATGCAATCCTAAGTTGTATTAACAGAGGGATACAGTCAAGATCAAGGGAAGTACTAATACCACTCTATAAAGCCTTAGTAAGACCACACCTAGAGTACTGCATCCAGTTTTGGTCACCATATTATAAAAAAGATGTTGAGACTCTAGAAAAAGTGCAGAGAAGAGCAACCAGGATGATTAGGGGACTGGAGGCTAAAACATACAATGAACGGTTGTAGGAACTGGGCTTGGCTAGTCTAGTAAAGAGAAGGACCAGGGAAGACGTGATAGTGGTCTTCCAATATTTGAGTGGCTGCCAGAGGGAGGAAAGGGTCAAACTATTTTCTAAAGAGCCTATAGGCCAGACAAGAAATAATGGAGGGAAACTGAATAAGGAGAGATTTAACCTGGAAATAAGGAGAAACTTTCTGACAGTGAGAACAATCAACCAATGGAACAGCTTGCCCTCGGAAGTTGTGGGAGTGCCATCACTTGAGACTTTCAAAAAAAAAGATTGGATTGCCATTTGTCAGAAATGGTGTAGGGTCTCCCACTTGGGCAGGGGGTTGGACTAGATGATATACAAGATCCCTTCCAACTCTGATTATCTGTATCTGTAGGGTGTAGCTGCCATTCAGAATCCAGAATGATGGCTTGTCAGTCTGGAACAAAAACAAAGCTAAAAAAATGCTACCACTGATTTTCTTTAATTTGCCATTGATTTCTGGCA